TGCCTCTGCAATAGAAATATAAAAAAGAGATGGGGTCAAGAGGCTCCTGTCCTCTCCAGCTGAATGATTAAGACCAGCTGCACCATTTTAAATAGTGCTGAAGAAAAGCGTTCCACAGATTTCTAAACCATTCTCCCGGCAACATGCTTTGATCACTGGCAAAACTGAGTAAAGATAATCCAGAAAGATATTTCCACTTACGTATGCAAGAAAGCCAAACCCATATTCATACCACCTCCCTCCTTTATCTGCCATCCAGCTGAATATCTTGCCTCCCAAAGCACCCAAGAAATGGGAAAACACAATTCACTGCTATTCTTCTAATACATCAATCGTATACGTTTCTGTATGCTTATGTATATACAGAAGCCAAATACTGATTCTGCTACTTTTCTCCAAGACATATGGGGAAAACAGGAAAGTCAAAAGGAATTAGAAATAAGAAAAAGCCCCACTATTCTTACCCTAAAAGACAGATACATCCAGGTCAATTCTGCATTGACCTGCCCTGCAGACAACATGCCTTTGCCTTCCCTGTGTCAGTGCAGTCCCCTGGATAATCCTGTGAGGATTCTGGATCAGGCTCAAGATCCATAAAGATACAGGTAATGTAAAAGACACAAAAGGGTGTTTTCATTTCCAAAGTTTGCTGACATTTGACTCCTACCAAGTAAAGTTTTTACTGCAAAAGTTAAACATGAATGGAACGAGCTTTACATCATAAATAACTATGAATCCAAATGGGACAAAGTGAATTGCTAGTGCTTATCCTATAACATATCATGCATACTCACGTGCACACATTTAAAATTCTTCTACAGTTTTACACCTAACATGAGCGTGTCTTTCAGTGCTAAACTCAGATGTGCAAGCGCAGTAAGAACTTGGACACTCATGCATATCTCTGCATGCCGGAGAAGCTCACAGCAAGGGCTCACAATTTAAGCCTTCCATCATCGTCGTAAATCTTACTCTATTTCTCTCTCTGGGAAAAAGCCTGCAAAGCCAAAACACAAATACTGAGTAACACTGGATCAAAGAAGAGCTGGTATTCCTGATATTCCCACAGCTCTTCATCCCTTGCTTAAACTAATCATTCTCCTAAAGGAGAAGAGCTTGTGTAGACTAGAGATAGCAAGGGATTCTTCTCCATCTTTAAGACTGAGACCCTAAGCAATACCTCTCTTACAGAAAAGCAAGCAGGAAACCTCTGCTCTTTGCAGCATGCTTACCCCATTCAGTCTGAATCTAATTTTGAATTAAAAAGTTCTATTTCATTTTCACATACTTTTACTGGGAAAATGCCTTCCATACAGCTATTTAACAATCCTTTTGCTGAAGATACCCCTCAGGCTCAAGCTATTCAACAGGTTTTTTTGATAACATTTTCAGCAAAATTTGAAGCTATGTCAGGTCAGTTTTGTTTTCCAGGCCTTCCATCAGAGAGGCATAATTCAGTTTCTACAATGGGCAACCTCTCCTATGTTCTCTGTGGGATTTTTGCATGTTGACTAACCTACACAAGAATTAGGATCACTCCCTTACAGAGACAGGAGATTCCTTCTAGGAAATAGTAACAAGGAAAGAAAAAGCCTCTGGAGGATACAAAGGAATTTTCCTTTGCAAAGTCCGTTTAGTTACAGAATGATTTTTAAAATTTTCATGCAGCAGTTGAACAAAAAAACACAGCATGGGAAGCAATCATTTTAAGTTATAAGGCCTTTCCCCTGCCACAGGGCACTATTATCATTCTACACGAAAGTATCAAGTGTAAAGTTTGTATTTTCTCTTTGTTCCTCTGATAGTTAAGACACCACCTTCTAATTTTTAGCCCTTAATGTATCGAGACTTTTTCTATCTAATTGTTCTTTTGTTATTATAGATCTGCAATTTCAATAACTCCCATTTTTTGTGTTTGCACCCGGTGTGCCCATAGGTGACAAGTGTATTCTCCCAACTTTTCTATACAAATATGTCAAGCTGTTTTTGTTGCTTTAAAC